GATAAGGAAGCTTCTGGAGGAGAAGGCTTAACAGTAATACACTTAGTATTAATTGTATTTAATACCGTGTCTATTCCTGTTTCAATTCTCCCAAGCTGAGACCCTATCGTTTGTGGACAAACATTAGTATAATTGTTCTGCCTGTAAACATGAGAAATGTCTTTTTTAGTAGCATTACAGGACTGATCAATTATTTTAGGTTGGCTATAAGTCTTGGTTTCCACTTTTACACCACTGTCAGGGTCAATTCTTTTCAAAATTAAATGTTCAGTGGGAGGATGGACAGAGTGATAAACCTTATCTTCAGATGTAGTCCATGGTTTGAGAAAATCATCCAATATGTTTATATTAACAAGAGAATGATTTGTCATATAAAACCAAGAAACAAAAGGTATAACCATTTTGCGTTCTTGTAGAAAGTCATAAAATTGATTTTTAAAAAGCTGGAATTGATTTTGGTCAAAAGCTTTGAAATACCAATTTCTGAATTCTTTATATTGATCCTGTTGAAATTCAGTATTAATGGCAATTCTATCTGAGACAAAATCCATTAAAACTAATATTCATGAGGATCATTTATATCTGTAGGATCGTCAAATTGATCCTTCACAGATTCATTTCCGATTCCCATTTCTGATGGAGTTGGGCTGAATGCAATTCCAAATTGGCGACGAGACATACCTATTGGTGCTTTCTTGTAGACTCCTCTTGGAATTTGATTCGGAGATTGCTGTATTCCTTTCAGCTTGAGGTTATTGGAACCAACTACTTCAGGGAGATTTTCCTTTCTGTAATCCGACGAGATCGAATGGCGAGAAGGAGGACAAGAAACATGATAAGGAAGATGACTTCCTTTAGATGATGTAGATCTGGGTAGATCTAATGATTTTCTGAAATTCAGAAAAACATCACCATCCTGGTCCTGAATAACACAGTCCAAGCTATAGTTAGCAATTGGCTTTGCCGGAACTGCATTAGAAATTGTCCAATGTTCAGGAAATGTTATTTCACTCTAAGGAATCATCCTTTTTGTGGCAACATTTGATGTGAACATATTGGTGTCCCATAACGCTGTTACTCCTTGAGAGTCTTTGCGTATGGCATTTGGACACATAGTATCAAGTACTTTGTAATGGATGCGATAAATAACACTTATCACTTCCGATCCAGGTAAATAATCATACCCATAGGTCTGAACACGAAGACTAACTGCCTCATGGATGTTTTTATCTGTTAAAAATAAATTCAGACTAGGATAGACATTAAAATAAACCGGTCCATGACATAGACTGGTTTCCAATGCAACCATTAAAGAAGGGTGAAATTTCAGACATCGAGCATCCCGAAGGGTTGCTTGAATACAAGCATCCATACCTAGTAAGGTTAAAGGTTTAAAAGCAATTTGAATTAAACCTATATGGATGTACTTAAATTTGTGCATGTGCCTCTGAAGGTCACGGGAAGACAACAATTTAATTATTGTGTCTTGAGTGCTTAATTGCATAGTCTGTTCCATGGTCTTGACAGTCCATAGATCAGCGAGATTAAGCATTTCGATTTTGTAAATGCTCTTAGCACTTACTGGAGGGATGGTCCATTTATTCAATTTATTTTGAACATTGGTCCATTCCACTAATTCAGTATTTTTTATCAATTCTGAATCCTGATTTTCCTGTCCTCCATATTGTTGTGTTTGGAAATATCTGGATTTAACTTCCCAAGGATCTGGCATCCATTGCTCATCCTGAGAATCCAGTACCAATACTGTCTGAATATACCTTTGATTAGGTATCTATGGAGTTTCTTGTTCAAGAACCTCGTTCATGGTTGGTTTCTGTTGTTTCTGTTGTGAACTGCTGCTGCCTTTAGGAGGTGTGCTGAGCAGATCTGCAACAGAAACAACAGAAACCAACCATGAAAGAGGTTCTTGAACAAGAAACTCCATGGATACCTAATCAAAGGTATATTCAGACAGTATTAGTACTGGATTCTCAGGATGAGCAATGGATGCCAGATCCTTGGGAAGTTAAATCCAAATATTTCCAAACACAACAATATGCTGCACCGGATGGTCGCCATAGATATATCTATAAAGCCATTCTTACTGAAACTTCCTCTGTGGAAATCAACTACACGAAGCAATTTCCGAATTCCAAAGATAGTCCTCTTACTTATAGTAAAGCTATCTTTAAGAGGCTTATACGGCCTAGTGACTGGGGATTAAATCCTAATTTGCCAAGGAAAATATCCTATGGTCATAGTTACAATTACTGGGATTATATCTCAACATGGACATATTCGTTCTTTTATCAAAATCTGAAGCATAAGCATTCTTGGTTCCTCAAGATATGCCCTCAATCAGTTAAGGCTGATTTCCCAAACTGGGTTATACCCTGGTGGGCTATATTTGGCCCTGATCTAGATATTTTGCCAGAATCAATTTGGCAGTTATACTTGCTATGGCAACAATTTCATCCTCAATTAAGAGGAAAGGATAATATTCCTATAGGGAAATCCACCCTATTGTTCTTTACTGAATTTGGAATCCCTTGGATTTGGAAATGGGATTTTCAATGTGGTTATACCACTGACAAGTTACTAGTCCTTCAGAGGATCTTTCAATTTTCCTTTCTTCCTCTTGTAATATTTCTCTCTGTACTAGTTTGGGAGTTTAATAAAGAAGAAAGTTTTCTGTAAGTCTGTTATTTCATATAATCTTTGTCAATTATTTCAATTATTGTTATATTAAATTGTTTATAATCGATCCCTCGCCGTTTTGGTATCAGAGCTAAAAAGGGGGTGCCCAAAATAACTTGTTGTGCCATATTTCTGATGAGTAAGAAAGTAGATGGTAAACAAATACCTTCTTTACAAATAAAAACATGATTGAGTTTATACTTAATCTGCATCTTACCTCCACTTGCGCTGGTAAGACCTTGAGTGGTTTTCTCAAAATATTGAGTAGGAACCAATCCTTCCTGTATACGGTTCATATCTGCACCACTATCAACTAAGGCAATCGCATTAGTGATGGTGTACTTTTGATTAATTACCAAATTGATAGATATATACCATTTTTGGTAAGTAACTTGATTCAAAAGTTGAAGATAATTAGTACTTTCGGATTGAGGGACTTCAATCTGGGATGATGAAGTTTCAGCTACAGATGTTGCTTTTAAAAGAGTAATTTCCAATTCCATCTTATGTTGACGAGACTTTAACTGGCGAATTTCTTCTTTTAAAAGATTAATCTCCATTCTAAGATCAGGGAGATTAGCAGGACGAGAATTTTGTCCTTGATGTTCAAATCTGCTTAGAACTTCTTTCATGCTGTAATGATTTTCTGCTCTCAGAAAATCTGGATTATCAGTATCCTCATTAGGTCGTGCCAGAGCAGAACCTATTTCAAAGACTTTCATCTTGATTTGGGGATCCTGGATATGATCTATAAGATCCAATAAGGATTGTTGAGTCGAGGTCAAAACGTTTAAGCTTAACCCATTCATTTCAACAATTGCCTTATAATAATCATCATGTGAGGGATTACAGGAGCATTTTGGATGTCCAACTTCTGCTTCAGAGGAAGAAGAAGACTGTAATTCCTCACATGATGATTTTGCATAGTGGCCTATGCGTCCACATTTGAAACATTTAGCCTCAGCTTTGGGTTTTTCTTTACCCTTTGCTTTAGGAATATATTTCCTTTTAGGCTTAGTATACCGTCGAGAATTATCCTTTTCCTTTGAATAATTCTTTTTCTTGGAATACTTCCTTTTATAAGGCTTTTCAACCTTATTTCTTTTCCTAGGTTTAGGATAAGATAAGGGAGTTTGGTAGGCAAATTGATCACAAAATTCACCTACTTCCTTTCGACCAGTTAATCTTTGTGCTTTTAACTGGGATTGTAACTTCAGATCATTACAAAGAGCTAGACCTTCCTGGATTACAATATGGACTAATCCACCATAGGTATAGTTTCTGTAAGGGATAGAGATATCATTATTCATATCTCTAAGTTTTTTCCTGATTCTTTCAGCAAAGAAGGTTGGTAAACCATCCACAAATTTTGCTTTCCAGTGCTCATGATTTGCATCATTGAGTTGGAGAACCTTTGCCAAGAATACATCTTTATACCACCGAAAATGGGTTAAAGATGGACATCTTAAGTTCTTTAGAAGTTCACGACTCTGTTCACTATTAGCGCCTTCTGGGCCAACAAAATGTTGGATAATAGTGGTGATGAGGGTGTAAACCGCATCTGGAGCAGGTCCTGGTTGTTGAGTAGCTTCATCTTTAACTATCTTGGTAGCAGAAAAGATTTCAACTTTCTGAACGTCAGTGAGAACATTATCCCACCATCCAATTGAGGGTGTAATTTTTTTTTTTTTTTTGACAAACTCGAGTGGATTAGTGTCTTATGTGAATATGGAATGCCTCCACCCTTGCGTTTACTAATTTAACATCTAACGTACCCTTCTTGCCTTGCAAAAAAAACTAGTGCCTTCAAGTTATGTCAGATTTGTTATTTTAGGAATCGCCAAACATTAACAGAGTGAGAACAAGTCAATTATTGAGTTTTTGTGTAAGGTGGAAAACATAAACAAAAGACTACCATACAAATCTAGTGGAACTAAACATAAACAAAGACGACTATAAATCAAGTAATAAATTATTACCGTATCTAATTATTTGAATGAGTGAACCTCACTGTATTAATTATTTGTGTGTGAGTATAAGTGTTAGGGGGCCAAAAATAAACTACAACAACAAATCAAGTAGCGAGGGCCAAACAAATAACAAAGAAGACCTCAAGTCACAGTTAATGAGTTCTTACAAAATCAATTTTGGAGGAAACATAAAAGACAACAACAATTTCGGTGGGTGGTAGATTGGTCGTACCGTATGAATTATTTTTGTGTTTGTCAGTGGGGGCCAAAAGAGAACGACTACTATGACAAGTCAAGCAATGGGGCCAAACATGATCATAAGTGACAAGCAAAGAGTCATGAGTTCTTGGAGTATCAATTATTTGGGGGAAAAACATAAACGAAGACTACAACCATTAGAGTTAGAGAAACCTGAAGTAGTAGTGTGAAATTCAAACTTTCAACATTAATCCATCAATGGCTTCCTCCTCCTCGCACCATGCAGCCTCTCTCCCTTCTAAGAAGTACCCATACCCGGCAGCAGAGGTCAACTTGAGGGACTTTGTTCCAATCATCCTCTCTAATGAAAACTACTTTGTGTGGAAAACGCTAATGCTTCGTCTTATTGAGAGTCAAGGCATGGTTGGTTTCATCAACGGTGAGGTTTCACCACCTGAAAGGAATATTACAAAGGAGATCGAGAACCAGGATTACTACGAATGGAAAAGATCGGACGCTCTAATGCAAAGATGGATTATAGGGACGATCAACGAAAATGTTCTTCGAGATGTGGTGTGCTTGGAAACTGCTAAAGATATATGGGAAAGGTTAATTACCCTACATGAAAGAAAAATAGGTTTGGTTATGAGTTAGTTATGCGTATGATTGATTTACATATTTTAGTACTTCAATCTAGCTAATTCTTTAATTAATTGATTAATTTTCTCAATCTTTTCCTATTTTTGTAGAGTACCCATATCCAGTATGGGTTACCGTAGAGTATTTTGTTCCCGTCAAGCTCTCTAGAGAAAACTACTCTTTGTGGGCGAAATTGATGTTTCATTTTATTGAGAGACAAGGCTTAGTTGGTTTCATCAATGGTGAAGTTTTAGCACCAGAAGAGAGTTTTATTGACGGCACAAGCGGGGAATACAAGGCATGGAAAAGAACAGACGATCTGTTGCAGATGTGGATTATGAAGACAATTATCAATGAAGATGTTCGTGCATGTGTGGTGGACTTGAAAACTGCCCACGATGTGTGGATAAAGTTAGAAAAAGACTTGACTCAAATTGGTAAGGTTGACTCATTTGCACCACATGTCGTTTTAGTAGATTATCAAGCAAAAATATAAATTCATTATTATGGTAGTATATTATCACTTCATTTACATTTATGTATTTACATGTATATTATTTCTTATATGAATACAAGAAAGAAAAAGAATAATTAATTTATATGCTCTCCTCATATTTGATAAAAATACATAAATATTCTTTGTTAAACATTGTTAGTTTGATGACATTTTTCGTATTGGCAGACATTCCAAATTTGCAAAAATACATAAATGTTGTTAGACCAAAATGCCAACAACTATAATATTATTATATTTTCTAAAGTTTTTAGTTGTCATTCAGTAAATTACAATTTTTTAACTAGTAATAAAGTACTTCTCTGTTTTATTTTGTTCATGACAATCAATGCCTTGTTAAAGCTTACAAAATTTTGTTTGGTATTATTATTATTTTTTTTCTTAATCTTTTATCAAGGTAATAATAATAAATCTTTTTCAAAGGCCCGGGGAGTCAAAGTACTTTTTTTTTATTTTTTATCCTTTCAAACATTAAACAATTGTTGAAGAAATTAATTAATTAATTTTTCTGTTTGTTGTCTATCATTTCCTCATCTATGTGTTTTCTATTCATTTTCGTTGAACTTTTCTCTCTTTTTATTTATTTATATTTTTGTATTTCCCTCAATATATATACTACTAATAATGATATTATATAGAAAATTATATCATAATTGATTTAATATATTTTTCAAATTTTTTACATGGTACCAGTTCGGCCCCCAAATCAAAACCCCTGGGTTCGCCCCTGGTTTTGAGTTGAGTGGCTGTATGTGATAATCTACCTTGCATAAGCTATTATAAATTCTGCTGATTGATGGAGAAGGCGAGTCCATTTATGGTTCTTATTATTCTTTTTCACTTTTAGGTAGGCAAGAGTATTTTATTAACCAAATAATAATAATAATAATAGATACAAACGAAAGATAATCCTATGCCAATCATAATATTTTTATGTTTGTTTAACTTTGATGACAGTGATAATCATAGAAGATGAAGGAAATGACCGGTCAATGCTGCATAGAGCTACACTGAGAAGTGATTGGGAGGCAGCCAAAGAATGTTTGAAAAAAAACTCAGATTTAATAGGGGTTGACATCACGGGACAGGGGGATACAATGCTCTCATTAGCAGTGATGTCTAAGCAGAGAAACCATTTTGTTAAGAATATATTGGAGTTAATGTCGTCACCATTGGATGTGATTGCAGTTAATCACCAAGGTCAGACAAGTCTTCATATAGCAGCAGCAGCTGGCAACCTTGAGGCAGCCAAGTGGTTAGTGGAGAAGAACCAAATTCTGCCCAATATTCCAGACTATGGCGGGGAAGTACCTCTCCAGCGTGCTGCTTTATTTGGCCACAGAAATTTGGCTCATTACTTACTGGCTTTCACCGAAAGAGAATATATTGGAGGTGAACATGGGGGTTGGTTTGTTCGTGTTTTGATAGGATGTGGTCTATACGGTGAGTAGTACTTAATTTATAGCACACAAAAATGGAAAATGCAATAGGAAAGAAATTACATATATGTTTTGATCACTATTTACAATCATTACTAGTATTTTTACTTAAAATCGTTAAATACAGAATGGTTCCTTTGCAGTTAGTTAACCTTTTCTCTCCTATCTTTATGACAGACATTGCTCTACTATTTGTCGAGTGCTATCCTGAATTGGCAATGGAGAACCAGGTTGATCTCTCCTTATTGCAAACAATTGCTATGGAAAATTCCGCATTCCCAAGTGGATCAAAATTCTGTTAGGATATGTGTGCCGTAGCATAGCAAATTCTAATTTTGGATTGTAAAAGTCATGGTTTCTTATTTAGATATTATTATTAAAACATTATACAATTGGTGAATGAAATGTATTATTTTTCGATTCTTTATGGAATTGATGGTGTCTGCTTGATTACAAAATATATTTATATATGTATGTAATGGCAATTAATACTATGATATAAATTAGTAATCATAAATGGTTTAAAGTTGGTAATTATGGATGGACGTTTAAGTAGTTAAGACTTAAACCGAGTCCACGATAGATTGAAATATATTGCGAGAGCTGTCGTATGCAATTGCTCTTTATCACAGTCATGGCTTTTTACTCTCAAGCATGAGAGAAGTATAGACCTTTTTATTAATTAATAATTACTTTGATTTGTTCGGCGGATACCTCGGGATCCTTAGATCGACACTTTGGGTAGTTATGTAATTAATAATTAGAGATCTATATTCTCAATATTTGCATCAGTACTATTTGTATTTATTTTGTTTTGATTATGGTTGATCACAAATTAAATTCGAAGGCCTTCGTATGTTTTAGACAAATATTTTCTATATATATTTATTTAATAAATTATTATTATTTTTTGTCAAATAAATATTTTATTGTGATCGAGCCGGAAATAATCAAAGGTAACAAAATAATTATATTAATTATGTTGTCGGATTGATGGCTTTAATTATCCGATAAATAATTAAGCATAGAGGGGTCAAAGTGCAACATTGACTTAGAGGTTATTTACTATTTAATTGGAGTGCCATTAATTTCTTTTAGTGGAGTAGAAATTAATTTATGAATTAATTGAATTGGGTCCATGGTTTAATGGACCGGACCAATTATTAATTTATAGGAGCCAAGAAAATAGTAAGCCTAAAAGGATTCTCACCAATAGCCCAAGTTGATATTGGAGTCATGTTAGGATTGAGAAAGTTGAATTAGAGATGGAGAATGATTTATTATTTCCTTATTCTTATTTTTATTTTGCCTATATATACATGAGTTCATGTATATTTTAGGTGTGACTTAGAGAACAAGAAAAAGGAATACATTTTCTCTCTCTAGATTTTAGGGTTTTGTTTTCTCTTCTAAAGGAGGCTACCACCAGCCTAGATTCCAAGGTCATTCATCAAGGCATATTGGTGATTCCTAAAGGGAAGATAATAATCGAACGGAAGGAGAAAGGATCTTACTAAAGGGATCTACAATAAGTGAGAACATTCACTTTAGAGGAAAGTTCAAAAGGTTTACTCAGACCTTTGATGTAAGTATTCAATCTGTTTATTGAATTATGCATCATCTTTTATTTATCTTTGCATAAAACTTGTCTCTGTGTGATGAATCAAGATCCGTGATTGCAAATCCCTCAAAAGTTTTAAAAACTTACACGTTTCCCAACAGTGGTATCAGAGCACATGGTTTGATTCATTACTAGAGAACATGTGTTTATAAAAATCATATTCATGGATCCAAATCGTATATACATATATAAAATTATTGATATATGTTGATGTATGATTTATTATGTTGATATATATTAATACATGATGATATATGTATAATTGTGAATGAATGATGATGTGTGTTTGGGTCATGGATGAAACTTATAGGTATATAGAATGTAATTTTATTTTTGGATGAATGTAATTAAGGCTTTGTTTTAGCCGTTTGAAAATTCAATGATGTAATTTAATTTTTCCATTGTATTTCAAATTGTAAGTATTTATTAAAGCCATGTAATATTCATCAAAAGATGCTATGAAGCTTCAAGAGGGTCCGAAAGGGTTAAATTATGCTTCAGTAATTTTCTGGAATTTTTTCGAATTTTTCGGGAATTTTTTTGAGGCTTAATTTAATATTCTGGGATTTTTCCGGATTTTTTGGAATTTTTTCGGCGTTTTTCCGGTGGCCGGAGCTTCGCCGGCGGCGAGAAGGGGCGTCGGAGGTGGCCCGGATCAGGTGTGGCATGGATTTGGTAAGCCTGGCGCGTGTTCCACACGCGCCAGGGAGTTGCATGGAGAGGACAAGTTGGCGCGTGGATCTCACGCGCCAGCCAAGGGTGTGTCACCCTCCACTCGCGTGAAGGCGCGTGGAGGCGAGTCCCACGAGCCCCAGGCGCGTGGGAGCGCGTGCAGCCTGCCCTAGGCGCGTGCCAGCGCGTGTGGGGTCCTCTGGGCTCGTTCCAAGCGGCGTTTTGCTTCTCCTGACGCGTACAAGTTTCCTGTGGGTGTTTACAGACAGTTGAAGGACGCCCGTACAGCAAGAATAGTTTTTAAATGTTAAAAGCTGAATCCATTGGCCATTTATATTGCTTCTGTCTATTATTTGATGCATGGAATAATTTAATGCTTATTATAATTGTTCATGCATTGGATCCATGATTTTTAATTAAAAGGCTTGATTTATATTAATTAAATTATGAAGATAAATTGGATTAGATTGCTAATTAATTTGAGAGCATTTATTGGGAAACAGAAAAATTATTTTTGTAAATTATTTTTTGCCTCAAATTAAAGATTAGTGAATCATTTAAAATCCATATATTTTCTAAATTTATTTGGATTAAAATCAAGGCGTTTTGCATGCATTAAATCATGAATTGAAAACCCTAGTTTTATATTATTAAAAATTGAGTGGGAGCGGGGATTTTTTATACATTACCCCATGGCCTTCGTAATTATAACCATTATGATTAGATCTTTAAAAATAAGGCTCCGCGCATAATTTAAAGAGTCTAGATTACAAGAATGGTTGTCTCACGAAAATATATTTATTAAATAACCATTATAGTTAGATCTTTAAAAATAAGGCCCTACGCATGATTTAAAGAGTCTAAGCTATTAATGGCAATATATTTAATATTTGTTTTTCCATTGGAGCATTAATTATGTTATACACTCAATCTAAAATCAATAGTATTAGCTCCCCAACGGACTGGTCTATAATAGGTGATTTTAGAAAGGCTAAATCTAATCGGGAATTATTTCATATATAAATAAGGCATTGTCTAAAAAGATATGGAAATAATGAGTTGTTCTCGTCAATAAGTAATAATGAATTCTGCCAACCAGATAAGTTATTGGCATATTGATTGTCCGATTTTTCATGCAATGTGGTTAAGGGACCCACAATTAATTAATTATTTTATACTTGCATGATTATTATTATTCACTTTATTTATTGTATGAATGCTTTTATTTTCAGATTTATCATGACTAGTCCATTCAGTCCACTTGCAAACATACTAAAAGAAAATCAATTAACTGGACCTAATTATATCGATTGGAAAAGGCAACTAGATATTGTACTCACATATGAGGGGTTGAATTATGTGCTTACTACTCCTAAACCTTCTCCACCTTTGCCTGAGGATTCTCCTGAGGAGCATGAAGTATTTAAGAAATGGAATAAAGCAGATGAGATGACTAGGTGCTACATTCTTGCTTCACTCTCGAATGTACTCCAAAGTCAACATCTTCAATATCTCACTTCTGCAGACATCATGCTTAACCTTAAGGAAATGTTTGGGTGAATTGGTAAGAGCGCACGCCAAAATGCTATGACAAATTTGATGACCATTAAGATGGTCCAAGGTACTTCAGTTCGGGAACATGCTTTAAAAATGATTGGTTTTTTAAATGAACTGGAGATCCTTGGATGCAACTTGGATGGTGAACTTCAGGTTGACATGATTATCGCTTCATTGCCAGACTCATTTAACTCTTTTAGGGTTAATTATTATATAAATAAGCTTGAGTACACACTCGCTAAACTATTGAATGAGTTGGTAACCTTTGAAGGGATAAACAAAAACAAGGGTGCATCTATCAACTACACTCAGTCTGCTGGACCATCCACTTCTAGGCCCAAGAGGAGGGGCAAGAAAAAGAAGAAGGATGGTGCCAAAACTGTGGTTGTGCCAGACAAAGTAATCCAAAAGGATAAGGGAAAGAAGAAAGTGCGGGTTGAAGGCGAAGGAAACTGCTTCCATTGCGGTCAACCGGGTCACTGGAAACCTAACTGCCCAATACTTCGCACACAAGGCAAAGGAAAAGGTATATTCATTGTTGAGGCATGTAATGTGGTTGAATCTATAGATTCCTGGTGCATAGATTCTGGAGCCACTAATCATGTTTGCAATTCATTGCAGGGATTCCAGGAGTCCAGAAGCCTCAATGAAGGAGAGATATACTTGCATATGGGATCTAATGCCAAGGTGGAAGCTAAAGTAGTGGGAGTGGTTCATATGCAGTTTGATAGTGGGAGGAGTCTTATTTTAGAAGATTGTCTTTATGCGCCAAATGTTAGGCACAATTTAATTTCAATTTCTTCGTTGGTTTGCAAAAATTATATTTTTACTTTTGAAAAAAATGTTTTAATTAAATTAAATGGTTGTGTTATAACTTCTGGTGCATTGAAAGGTAATCTATATGTTTTAACTCCTAGCTCATATCAAATGCAAAATTATGAATTAAATGCAACTTCATCTAGATTGAATGTTAAAAGAAAAGCAGTTTCTCCAAACTCATTGTATCATTGGCATCTACGATTGGGTCACATCAATCAAAATAGGATTCAAAGGTTGGTTAAAGAAGGTTTATTACCTTGTGAGGCAGAGGAGCCTATGCCAACTTGTGAATCATGTATTGAAGGAAAGATGACTCGAATGGCTTACTCAGCCAAAGGATATAGAGCCAAAGAATAATTAGAGTTGGTGCACACAGACGTGTGTGGTCCCATGAACACCCAAGCGAGAGGAGGGTTTGAGTACTTCATCACTTTCATTGATGATTATTCACGTTTTGGATATATTTACCTAATGCGACACAAGTCAGAAGCTTATGGAAAATTCTGTGAGTTTCAGGCGGAAGTGGAGCGTAAATTAGGTAAACTTATCAAAACACTTCGATCTGATCGAGGAGGTGAATACCTCTTGGGGGAGTTCAAGGATCATATGGTCAATGAGGGTATTGTGCGCCAGTTATCCGCACCTGACTGCCCTCAACAGAATGGAGTGGCAGAAAGGAGAAACAGAACTTTACTTAACATAGTTAGATCTATGATGAGTTTTGCTACATTGCTTCTATCATTTTGGGGATTAGCCTTAGAAT